CCCAAAGTGCTGGGATTACAGGCATGAGCCACTGTGCCCGGCCATAAGAGGTTTTATTTTTAAAAATCTTGTTTAATATGTGGTGATTCTTGAATGACCTTGGTGGCAGTAGTTTTGGTGATCATTCATGATTGAAGGTTTTGTTCTAAATTTAGTCTTCTGAATTTTTATTTATTTATTTATTTTATTTTTTTTGGGGACGGAGTTTCGCTCTTGTTACCCAGGCTGGAGTGCAATGGCGCGATCTCGGCTCACCGCAACCTCCGCCTCCTGGGTTCAGACAATTCTCCTGCCTCAGCCTCCTGAGTAGCTGGGATTACAGGCACGCACCACCATGCCCAGCTAATTTTTTGTATTTTTAGTAGAGACGGGGTTTCACCGTGTTGACCAGGATGGTCTCGATCTCTTGACCTCGTGATCCACCCGCCTCGGCCTCCCAAAGTGCTAGGATTACAGGCTTGAGCCACCGCGCCTGGCCCCTTGCTTTCTTTATTCTATCAGCTGGGATGCAGATGCTGTGGTGAACTACATGGACCATGCGGATGGGGATAACACTTTAAGAACGGTGGGAGAAACTTGAGTTTGTGATACTACAGAGAAGCCATGTTATATGAGAGAAAAATAAACTTCTGTTTAAGTTATGGTCATTCAGTCTCCTTTACTGCAATGGTATTTATATCCTAAATAACACAGGCAGAAATGAGGTTGGCAGCAAAAGTGCTCCTGCTGCCGAAATCTTCCTTGTGGCTTGAGTCCTGGAAAAATGCCAACTTATTTGTGTATGTGTGTGTGTGTGTGTATGTGTGTGTGTTGTTTATCTCTGTGTGTAGGAATTCATTCATTTAAAATATTCAGTATTTATATTGAGTGTCAGGCACCTTACCTGCCACACGCACGTCTGTGTATATCTATATGTCAATTGTAATTCCTGTTTTTAATGAACTTACCATCTGGAATCTGAAAATCTAGAGTATAAAAAGCACTGTATGGCCAAGTGAACAAGATAATGGATACCAGAAAATGTTAGAAAGTGTTTGGCCACCATTTTTCTTCTTAATCCATGAGTAACGCATGAAAGTTAAAAGATGGTCTTCAGAAAGACAAAAGATGGAAGTTGATTTCATTCCATTTTCTCCACTGTATACAGAACACCTTCCACCCCAGGCTGGCATGGCACGGTTCAAGGACCTCCTTTGGTTCTGTGTCGGGTCGCCCCCTCTGTTGTCTTCCAGCTCTGCAAAGGCACCCCGCACCTCCTCCCATGTGATGCCCATGCTCCGTAGACCTCTGTCATCTTGCAAGCCTGGTTTTCCCTCAACTCTGTGTGAGGCAGGCAGCCAGCATCGCTGCCCCAGTTTCACGGACAGAGCAACCGAGTCATTATTCTATTGATACTGGACAAAGGTACCGAGTGAGTCATTCTAAAGTCCTAGAACCAGATCCTTTCTTGCTCCTGGCATCATTCATGGACCTGAATTCCACCAAAGGCTCAAGAGGATGCTGGTCATTGACCTGCTCAGAGAAGAACGGGTTTGTGTGTGACTGAGTGAAAAACAAGGATTAACTCTCTCTTGACACTTGCAGGCTTGAACAAGAAAGCAGGGGGTGGGGGTACGGGGGATAGAATGTGCATGTGTAGCGTCATCATCTCATCATACTGGGATTCTCAATTTCTCTCAAAATGTTTTGAGAATTCCCTGGTACATGATTTCCTTACTACTAAGTTTTTAAATTAAAAAAATATATTATTTGCCATTGAAGCAATCAATTTTCTTCGTCTTATGACAGAATCACTTATGTGAATTTGGATCTGAGAGGAAACTAAATTTATTTCCATCTTTTTGCAAGAGAATCTTTGAAGTATCTGGCAGTGAAAAAAAAATGAGCTTGCTCATGTAATAAAATTAGAAACACAAGCGATTCCAAACACAAGCTGTTCATATTTAGTAGGATGATGCTTTTTATGTAGCATTTTCTGAATAGCTTTGAATTTCCTAATTTTTTTTCCTTTCCTTGTGTTTTTCTTTGTCTCACATGTCACCCTATTTATTCATTCCCTCATCGACCTTCCCAGCTAGGGAGGAGAGAGGCACAAGGTATAGCTACAGAAGTAACCATGGATTTAAAAGTAGCGACATCAATTTAAAGGCAAATTACAGCTTTTGTACATTAAACTTGGTGACTTTATCCTTTGCTTCATAGCTGTGGGAGAAGGGAAAGTTTTGGAAAGCAGAAATAGGAGTTCTTACTGGGAATCCAGACGCTCTTAAGGTTGTCTTTCTTAACAAACTTTAGAAACGACCCCTGAAAGTATAGTCTTAGTTGTCTTTCTCATCACCTGCACCAGCCCTTCAGTTCCTACCTGGGGCTCTCTGAGTCAGGATCCTTAAAGATAGGTCCTAGGAATCTGCATTTTAAAAACCTTCCCAGGAGGTTCTCATATCTACTAAATGCTTGAGAGCCTCTGCTCTGAAGGGGCTTTGTGGGTGGGTCTTCAGGGACTCTGTGAAGCCCTTCAATGTATGTCTAAAATGTATGTGTGTATATTTAAGTATATTTTTTCTGAAGTAGATTCATAAAGGAGTCTAAGACCCCAGAAAAGGTTAAGACCCAGTGCATAATGGCCAATAAATGGAGAGAAAAAAATGCCCAATTTCATGTATTAATGAAGAATGCAAGTTAAAACAAGATTATTACTTTGCATTCACAAACTTTTGAAAAAACCAATGGTGGTTGGCAAAAATAGAAAAATAAGAATTCTCATACACTGCGGAGGGTACAGACATTTTGGGGAACAATTTGACAAGAGCTAGCAAAGTCTAAAATACATTCTCCTTACAGCCCAACAAGTCCACTTTAAGCAAATACCAACTCTTGAACATATGAGCATGGCATGTTTAAGGATATTCTTTGGGATACTGCTTATAATTAATTGTGAAAAATTGGAAACAACCTGAGTACTTACTGCAGGGGCAGAAAGAAAGTGATCCCTTTCCTCCCCATCATAAGGGTCATGGCTGACACCCTTATAAGAAAAACAAGCTAACAAGAGAAAAGCATAATACATTTATTTGATCACAGTTTTATGAGACATGAGAGCCTTCAGAATAGAGATCCAGGAAAAATGTATCCCTTTTTTTATTCTTAGGTTCAGTGAAGAATGGACAGCCACATAGAACTGCGATTGGGGGAAACAGGAATAATCAAATGGAAATAGACTGAGTCAGGAAACCTATCAAGCTCTGTCAACTCAGCTTCTTCATGTCCTCTCATTTGGAACATTTCTTTCTCCAAGGTATGGAATAGGACCCCTCTGGGATAAAGGTCTTAATTTCTTTGCGGTCAGCTCTTACACAGAAAGGCAGGGGAAGATTAGAGTCATATTTTTAGGTTTTATGACTGGCTTTGGGTGAAAGATGTTTTGGTTTCTATGACCTGCCTTGGGGAAGAGGAATTATAGTTTCTACAGCTTGCCTTAGGGGAGAATGAGGGACAAGAGACAGGAGGGCAGGAGAAGGTCAGAGAGAGACTTCGCTTCAGAGGCCTTCACTTTGGGGTATCATTTTCTTAAGTCTCAACACACAGATAGAGCAATGGGATAAATAAGATGTCATATGATCAATGTTAGATTGCTATAAAGTAATTACAAGGAATGATGTAAATCCATTTATTAATAATATTTAAAATAATAGGCCTGGGGTGGTGGCTCACACCTGTCGTCCCAGCACTTTGGGAGGCTGAAGCAGTCAGATTGGTTGAACCCAGGAGTTTGAGACCAGCCTCTGCAACTTGGTGAGATCCCATCTCTATAAAAAATACAAAAATTAGCTGGTCATGGAGGTGCGTGCCTGTAGTTTAGTCGCAGCTACTCAGGAGGCTGAGATGGGACGTTCACTTGAGCCCAGGAGGTTGAGGCTGTAGTAAGCCATGATCGTGCCACTGCACTAAGCCTGGGTGTCAGAATGAGATGTTGCCTCAAAATAACAATAATAATAATAATATCAAAAATAATAATAGCTAATACTTATATGGTGTTTACGGGCACTGTTCTAAAAGCTTTGCATATATTAACAACAAAACGGAATCTTAAAACACAATTGTGAGTGAAAAAAGCATGTAATAAAATGATACAACACTATGACAATATTTATGTTTAAAAGCACAAAATAATCCATAGGTTACTGAGATACATATCGAGAGAGTAAAAGTAGAAAACATGGATTTCACAAATAGACACAAAATTCTTTCTAAGGGCAGTCTAGGGCGACATTAGCATGGATTAATAAGAGTGGGGACATTTCAGTCTCCTTCAGCTGTATCAGATATATGTTATTTGCAAAAGATCTATAATTAATAAACACTTACATGGTACTCACAAAACCAGTTGGCAAGGCAAGATGTTATAAACTGTGAGTGCTCACTGGCAGGGCAGGGCAAGACAGACAGAAGGGAACAGAAGAGAAGGCCATGCAGCTATAGGGCTGTTAAGACAGAAAGAATTTGTGGAGCACAAGCAAGACAAACACAGATGGAAGGATTGCAGGAATCGTACTGCCTGGGAGGTCCTGGAGATATGACCCCTAGAGGAAGAATGCCATCTTTGGGGGCACGAATGGAGAGTCAAAGATGGACACACACAAGGAAGTGGGAAGACATTGGCATTTTCTACCAGGGCATCTGGAAGTCTCTTTTGGTTAAAGAATATATGGTAAGTTATTTAGTTATAAATAACAAGAGGAAGTGACCAGCTGAATTGTACTCAGTTCTGAGAAGCAAGAGGAATTATTTAGTGAAGTGTAAATTACCAAACCTTTGAAAGAAAGCCATGATGTCTTCAAAGCATTCACAATATCCAGTGAATTAAGGACTCAGTGTTGTTAGGTGTGAGCCTTAAATGTCAGGATGGGAAAATTCAAAATATGCAGTTTTGATTTAACAAAAGCAAATGTCTTCTCCCTCCCTCCAAAAAAGAAAGAAAGGGTTGGAGGAAAAATAGTTATGGCTACTCCAGGAATTCTCTTTGCAACCAGATTTCAAATTGCAAGCTCTCTCTCTCTCTCCTACTTTTTTGTCCTCTTTGCCTACAGGATTAGTTGTGACTTACAAGGATCTCCACATTTGGTCCTGGGACACTTCCAGTCCACCCTACACCCCACCCACATGGACTCCTCATCCTTCATTTCAGTGATGCCAACCTTTGCATATCCTGCTTCCTTTGCTTGGAATGACTTCTCTTTGACCCTGCTTTGCTTGGAAAGCTCAATCTTCCTTTACGAACCAGCTCAAAGGCCTTCTGTTAAGCCTTTCCTGAAAGGCTTAACTCAAAGCAGAACACAGAAACAAAAAGCACAGCCATTTACACACCCAGTTATTCACCCTACAAACACTGATCGAGGGCTACCAATGCCCTCCAGCCAAAGACCACCAGGAACACACTTATAATCAAACAAACTGGGCTTATTATTCATTGATCAAGGGAGAACATACTTTAGGGACACTATCTTAGTAACTGTGTTAGAAAGAGACTACTAGAAGATTTGGACTTTGGTTGCGTGATTTGCGAAGGGCTTAATAAATTAAGAATGTGCACTAGGTTGGATACCATCAGAAATCCAGGCAATTCTATGACTGAGTACATTTCAGGTGGCAGAGTGACCTTGTTTTGGTCTGTGCATGGGCAGAATTATGTAATGACCTTGTTTGGTTTCATTTTGTCATGGTTCAGAATAAGCTTGTCTGAGGCTGGTGTTCTGTGAGATTGTCTGTGTCCAACAGGGGAACAATGGCCTGTCTGTGAGTGTCAGATCAGCTTGTAATAATACTGAGGTCTACCGGTGATTATTTCTGGATGTCAGGGCCTGCTTTTTTCTTTCTCTATGCCTATAATGCCTCAGTCATTGAACTGTGATATTGTTCATACGTCTTTTACATTACCCACCATGCCTTATTATGTAGCAGACAGTGCAGTTATGTCTCAAGATACATTCCAACCCTCTCCCACCTTGGGGCAGCCATGGGATGTGGGTGAGACTGATTCCACTCTCAGCTCCAGGATAGGCATTGCAGATTCAGTTTTATGGAAACAGACACTGAGATTGCATGCAGGAAGTTTAGTGTTTATTTACACAGGAATGGTGTAAGCAAGAGAGGGAAGGATGACGGGACAGAGGGAGAAATGGACCCAGTATGTGATTTCAACAGAGGCCTTATCTGATTCCCTTTTGGAAGCACTGGAGCTGGTCTGACCCTTCAGACATGCCTGAATTGAGGTGACCTCAGGCTTTTATACTCACTCATTGATCAGCCATTAGAGGCAGTGTCCCCTCAAGGGGGACAATATCCTTGAATCTGGCAGCTCCTTTGGTTCAGAGCAGTACCTTGGGAGGAACTCAGCTGTGAGCCATCAGCAGTCAGTACTTTCAGAGTGGGAAAATGAGGGTTTCAGTTCTGAAGGGAACATCTGGTTGATACAGCCACTAAAATGGGAAAATATGAATATTATTTTCTTGTCTTGCTGATAATTGCACCTTCTAGAGGATAGGTTTTCAGTGCTAGTTCTGCCTGTTTAGTCCATTCAGGCAGCTATACCGAAATACCTTAGGCTGGGTGATTCCTAAACAATAGAAATGTATTGCTCACAGTTCTGGAGACTGGGAAGTCCAAAATCAAGGCACCTAGTAAGGGCCCATTCCGCATATGGCACCTTCTTGCTACAACCTCACATGGTGGAAGGGGCAGGGACACTCCCTTCAACCTCTTTTATGAGAACAGTAATCTCATTCATGAGCATGGAGCCCTCATGAATGAATCACTTCCTCAAAGACCCCCCACCTCTTAATACCATCACATTGAGTATTAGGTTCCAACACATGAATTTTGAAGGGACAGCAACATTCAGATCACAGCTCTGTCCAACAGGAGTTACTTGGTAGGTGAAATGAAGAGCCTTGAGAGAAGGCAGCTGTTACTTATTTTAACATGCTGCCCAAGGCTAAGCCAGCTGGGTGATATTCCTTGGATACAGCAATTCTTTCAGAAGAGCTCAGGAATTTTTTTTTGGTTATTAGTAAAAGAGAAGCTTGCTAGACACTAGCAGGAAAGTGTACAGTTCCAGCTGCTGGTTGCATCATCAGGACAAAACCAGCATACAGAAGATGGAAAAACTGAGAGAATTGTGAAGAAACGAGAATGGTCATAGCGTGCTGGAGCTGGCCTGCATCAGGCAGGGGTGACGGTGCACATCTCTTCCCAATTCTGTCTTCAGTGACTTCATGTTGTAGCTTGAAATAGGTCATGGTGGGACCTCTAGGTCAGTCTGGGCCTCTTGGTATATGGCTAGTAAGGCTCCCACTTCCTGTTCCTTTCTCTCTCCATCCCCACCCATCTTGCTCACTCTTTCTCTCCCTTTGCGTTCTCTCTAATTTATTTCTCCTCTTTTCTCTGAGGAGGAAGCAGTAGAAAGTCTGGAATGTAGTCATTGGGAACCTGGTGGACATTCTTCTCTGTGCTTGGCCTTGTGTTCTTGGCATGGATCCTTCCCGGCCCTGGGTCTGCTCTAACTTTCCTGTCATCACACACACACACGCACACACACACACACACACACACACACTCTCTCTCTCTCTCTCTCTCTCTCTCTCTCTCTCTCTCTCTCTCTCTCTTTCCCTGACACATACTCACACTTCAGAACGATTATATTTATAATACCCTGGGCAGTTCCAAATGCCAGTATGAATTTTAAGAGCACATTTGTGTCTCTTGCTTGGAACAGACTGAATTTTCCACTGGCTGAGAGTTTGAAGTTCTTCCAGCCAAGAGAGCAGTGAGAGCCTCTGGGGGACCAACCATGTGTTGGAGCCCCGTCAATTTTCTGCTCTAAGGGTTGCACTCTCTTAACATTCGTTGAAGGACCTATGGCCACATTTGGCACAAGACACTCATGTTGTGCTTTTCAAATAAAACCTGGTAGGGAGAAGGGCATCTGGAGTAGAGAGACCTGGTGTCAAGTGAGAATGGGTCCTACAGGGTTGATACTTAAAGGCCATCAGAAAGGCCATCTGTTTTCTGGGCCTAGAGGAAAAGAGGAGGATATTGAAACTAGTAGATCCAGATTTATATGGATTTATGCCCAAAGGAATATAAATCATTCTACCATAAAGACACATGCATGTGAATGTTTGTTGCAGCACTATTCACAACATTAAAGATGTGGAACCAACCTAAATGCACATCAGTGACAGATTGGATAAAGAAAATGTGATACATATACACCACGGAATACTATGCAGCAATGAA